GTTTCAGAGTAATATTTTTAGATGTACACACCTAGCTTGAAATATATATTTCAAAATTAAAATATTTTTGTATATTTAATGCGGCAAGAAACGCGAGACTGAAGTGGGGTTTGTAGCTCCTTTGGGAAACATCTTTTTCCTCAAAAATACAGCGTTCTTATGCGCCAAAGTGCTGCTGGGTCACAGTTACACAAATATCGATTTAAATGCGACAGAATTAGAAGCAGTGGAAAAATAAAATTATTGATTGACTTTCAAAATTCAATCCTTAAATTTTGTTACTGCAATGTAAAATGTTAGAACCGTGAGAGTTAAAATATTAGATAAGTTTATAAAAATCAATGTAACTTTTATCAGAATTAACCTACTGAGTATCTTGTAGTTTTCCTTGAAATTCGTACCAGCACAAACTAAAATTTATATTTGTTGTTTTAACGTGTTTGCATTTTTTTTCTACTTTGCAACGTTTCTGATTTTATTGGAAGCTATTGTTTTTTATTTTTCATAAGCCCAAAGTTCTTACATTGGTAAGTTCGGCATGACCACTCCCGCCGGTCGCTATTTTAAAGATTGCTAACCCTACTGTGACGTCATCAGATTTGCGGGTAATATAAAATACCATTTTCAGATTCAGTCAGGTTAATAATAATGAATTAATAATAATTAACACACAATAGTCAATCAACTTTTGCATTCAGATTGAAACCTAGTAATTTTCTAATTTTAGAACCATAAATACTAGGAAATTTTGTGGTTGTTTTTGTTTTATTTGTGGCATTTTATGAATATAAAAACATTTGCAGGTTAAAAGAGTCAGAAAATAATAAACAAACACACGTCATGGCGAACTCTACTCTGACGTCTCAATCTTCCTTTCCCCTGTAAGACATGGTATCACCGGTTCACTACCATGCGCAGACCGTACTAATAATAATTATATGTCTAGAGACTTTGGACACAAGTCGTCCTGTAAAAATATTTGTAGATTTTACCGCTCAAATCTCAGTAAGAACTGTTTTGTTATTGGAAGAGTTCTGTCAAACTATGGATGAAATAAGATTTGGTAAGTTCGTCGGAAACAATCGTTATGTGTCACAAAGTTTTCTATTTTTCGATAAATTGGTCAATAAGTAATGTATGAAAAGTCTCCAGATAACATATTGCAAATCAGACATTATCATAATCTATTAGAAAGGAGGGCGTGGATGTTAAATATAAGTAGATGCGGGTTAAGTTACTCGGGCAATGTTGGTAGGTTTTACAGTGTTAAAATTTCATCTTCGTAGGTTTTTATTACTTTTTCAGGACCTATAAATTTTAGAAAATGAGGAAGAAGGTTTACAGTACTGGAATTATGCTGCATAAGGGTTAATAACACTATTATCTCAAACAATTTCGTTGCAAACAATAATTTCATAAGAGCAGTCTTTACTTCGATAATGAATATTAATATTTAGAATTCTGAATCTTATTTCGTGTATATGAAAAAACTTGCCTCTAATGCGAAAGTAAATTCTTTGTTTTAGAATTTTTGTCGTTTATATTGAAGAAGAGTGTCGTTAATAAATTAAGAAATTCTAGTTTTCATTCTATGCATTTTTGAAAAATTATAAGATTAGATTTTTAAATGTTTGTTTTGTGATAACTTCTATCATGTAAAAATCAGCGGCACAAATAACACCTCCGCAGCCACTGCTCTGTGAGGGCGCCAATTGCAAGGGATTGTGCAAAATGGAAAATGTAAAATATATTTAAACCAGATAACCAACGGGAAAAATGGCCTCTCAGCAATAAAAACAAGCTTTAATTAACTTCAAGTGTTTTTTTATACTTCGGAAAAATGTTACGTTTCTACGTAACATTTTGTTTGAGTTTATCGCCTCAAAACAGAGGACTAAAATTATTAATTAAGCCACATTTGGATAAAATATTCGGAAAATGTATTATTATAATGCTACGTGATAGGGTGATACGTTCTTAATTTGATCAATAAAAAATTGTTATGACGTCATAAACATTGATAATACACAGCGTGAGAGAAAAAGAAAAACAGAAACGAACAAGTTTGGCTTCGAACGCGCAACCGCCTGTCCGCGTGTGGAAGCGAACCCACAGCCACGGTCGATATATCCTTCATTAGTGGTAGACTGTTACCATACTGTGATATTATTATATTATTAGTATTTTGTGAACATTTTGACGATTAGGGAAAAAACTCAAAGCAGATTCGTACACCAAAAGTATAGGAATACATTATTGTATAACATTTACATTATTTTATTATACAATTCTTTGAGATGACGTCAGATTGTTGCTGGGGATGATTCAATGAACCAAGTTCTTTGAGCCTTTTGCCACTTTCATGTTTTCTCTACGTTTCACAACTTCTAGAGTACCAAAAAGTGATCCTCGTTTCCTCATGTCTATCGTCTGTATGGTACGACAGAAAATTTTATTAGACACATAATTTCCGAAACTACTCTGGACCGATAGCTTACAAATTTTGTATGTCTATTAGGAATATCATCTAAACGCTGACCAAAATTTGGCTAATCATCGCCACCGCCAGTGGGAGGATATTATCTCCAGAATTCACTTTTTTTTTTGTTTGAATTTTAAAAAATAAGATACTCCTGCACTTGCGATACATGAATCCGTGTTGGGTTTTCACTCTAGATATCCAGATTAAGTTATCGTAATTATCGTAAATCGTTAATCAAAATTTATTCATTTATACCCTTCCAGAAAATTGATGACGTCATCTCAAAATTTTGCCTAATAAATCCTCTTTAAATATGCAAAATATTATGACTCTTTACTTGCGGTTTATTAATACATCATATTTTTTAAAATTGCTTATAAAGGGTGACTCGAAATTAATGAACGAGGCAAGAATGATTACTCCATTTTCCCGAAAATTTGGAAATGCAGGACTGTTATTATTAGTATTACGCTGCATTCTAAATCCAAATTAATATACTTGACCTTGCAAAAATGTTTATGACGTCATCACAAAATTTTGTACGGAAAAATCGACCTCAAATAAACGCGTCGGCCACTTCTTCGCATTTACTTTAATATAATTTTAATTTTTTGAAAAAGCTCAATTTGTTGTACTGTAATTCAGAAGCGAGGGAAGTTCTTTCGAAATAACCTTTGACCAATTTTTTTCCTGTTGCTATTACCGTTTTATGACGATATCAAACATTTTTCGTAGTTTGTTTTTAAAAATGTTTGTCTTAATTTTGTGTTTGTGTTACCCTCAGACTCGTTCTATTTCAATATTAACAGTAAAACACAAGTTTTGATACGTTTTTTAATCAAATGAGAAATTGATATTCTTGTGTTCACATTGTCTATAAATCAATAAACTTCGGGCACTAGTAGTATCATTTCACCTTATTTTTTATACATTAATAGTTGTCATTTTTACTACAGTTCATTTTTTAAGGGCGTGGAAATATTCGCTGAAACCAAAATAGACATTTCACAGTTAACCCGACAATTTTTCATACGTGTTAAACAATTTTGAAATTTTAAATCAATGCATGTTTTGCAAAAAAAAAAAATGCCAACATTCACATTTTGCCCAAAATGTTTTCTTAAAATGTCACATTATTGTTAACTACAAAATTTGTGTTCCATTTGTTTTAACATGTAATCTTAGATTACACATTTAACTCTAATCGAAAATATAATCAACCTCACCATTAGTTTGTGTATATTATGTTGCATAATTTTGTGAACACCCGTAAAAAATTAAGTATAAATACGCATTTTTCAAAGATTGATTTTTAAGTGTAATATTGACATGCGTCCTAATTAATGACTACAAAGCCGTAACTACATAAAAAATTTTGACGTGGCATTGTACAAATTTTAGTCTCGTAATTGTCACGTTTTTGAGTAGTTGTCGATTTTGGCGTCACAACCATAAAATCCGATAAGTAGTCAAGATATGGGTTATTAAACAATTTAAAAAAGAATCTGATATGCACGTCGCATATGAAACCTTTCGTTGGTAAAAAAAAAGCCCGTAGTTTTTCCAATATATGTTATGTCTTTGTTGTATTACTTGCGGATGTGGTTAAGATTTATAAAAAAGTGGGGTTAATTTAATGTTCTTTCGATATTTCATAACTCTTAGGCCATGAAAAATAAACCCCCCGTTTCTGTATGCCTATCGTTTATTGGTGATTTTTTTTAAGACAAACTGTTGGAAACTACTGGACTGATTGTTGTGAAACCTCATAACTGCTTTAAAGTTTTCGCGGACTTGATAAATCGCTAATCAGAATCCATCTGCTTATCTCCTCCACAAACTTGATGAGGTCATATCGACATTCTGTATAGCTAAACTTCCTTGAAATTGATGTGTTTTATACAACAACAAAATAAATATGGGGAAACAAATTTTACAATTTTCTGTTAAGAACGTACCAAAAGTTTTAGGAAATTCTAGCAACATTCTAACAAAAATTTCACAACAACGATTTAAATTTATGCAGTCATCCCCTCTAGATGCAAGAGTTAATTAATTTTATTGATTCATACAAAAATAGTATATTTAATGCACCAAAAATGTTGAAAAGCGATGTTATTTCTTAGACATTGTCACAAAAATAAAATTTGCATACTCAATTTTATAGTCTAAATTTAAGAAACTGTGCTTGTTTGAATGCTTCAGTGCCGAGTAAAATTTTGTCCAAATAACTTTTTTAGATATGTGCTAACTACATAAACTTCCTTTATAAGTAAGCAGGTTTTATCAGGACATGTTAGTTTCACTTTGAAAGCAGATGTCTAAATAAAATTTCTGCAAAAGATAAACATTAAATCGACTTGATGATGATAATAATAATAATAATAATAATGAGTGTTATTTAAAATTTTGGAACTCCCTAACCAGGACCCAACTGTTAAGGCTCACTTGATTATCTACGAAATTTATACTTTCGTAAAAATGTAGACATCTATATGAAGTTATCGTTTTGTTCCAGGAGAAACCAAACCAAGTCAACCTGTCTCCCGCAGCGGCTCAGATCGACGTCCAGACATCGTACGAGAAGAAACCCCTAAAAATGCCGAAGGCACGACTAGTATAGATCATGGTCAAAATAAACAAGAGAACGACACTTCCACTCCTGACAAGTAAGTTGATAGAAATTAGATAAGAGGTGTATAAAATATGTTGTACTTGAGTTGACACGCATATAATTTTGATAAAGATAAATACCGATATCGTCAAGTTTAGTGTTGGTTATCACTTGGGGTACAGTGCAAATCGTAGTCGAAGTGATACAGTGCGCCATTGTCTAGACTTTACAACACCATGTCAAGTTTAGATGATTTCGAAAAACTGCGTTTTGTGCTGCGTCGTGCCACCCGGTAACTTATAAGCGAAAACATATTTTTTTCGGAGAATTCGAAAAGCAGGAAGTTACAACGTGTCTTTTTCAGCAACGCTAGTTTTCCCGCGACGTCGAACAAGAAACGGTCCAGCAGCAACATAAACCGATCGGAAAGCGTGAAAGAGCAGTCGGAGAAGGTGAGTTTTAACGTCAATAAGGTGATGCAGTATGCAAAGTCGGGTCTTGATTGCAGCGGAAACAGAGACGGAACATCAGCGATCCCTCGCATAACACCACAAGGTGAGTTCATTCCGTCTTTCGCTAATCCTTGCAGTTTCGCATCCCCGTTTTCCCTTATGGTAGCAGTGCCGGTCGCCGCCCCTCAGCGCGCATGCGGACGATCCGGTGCCTATAGATCGTGCCCGGCCAACATTGGAATTCAGTGACAGTTTTTTCGTGGATCGCGACTAGCTGCACCGAATATAACGTGAAAAACGGTCTTGAGGATAACGACAAAATTCCAAAAAATTACTCCAGCGCGCATTTTTGATCCGAAAGAAAACACAATACTTTGGCCACCTAAATCTTAAATATACATTTTTACCGTTGTTTGATTTGATAGTGAGGTGACCTTCCGCTAGATGGGCACTAATAATTTGCAATGACCAATCCCGACTTCAGTTTCGTGATAGTTTCGGAAAGGTCTGAGACACCTACATTTATCGAATAACTGCGCTTTCACGTCTAGTTTTCCGGAGGGAGCACGAATGCAACCTGCAATTAATTCTGGACTATTTATTTAGAATGCTTTTGAAATCGTTTCTCCTCCGACCAAATATGCCAGGCATTCGAGTTCTCTTTGAAAATGCGAATAGTCTACCTTAATTTTCAGTTTTGTAAATATTTATTACAGGCTGCAAGGATTATTTTTGTTATCTATGTTTAGCAACTTGGGAAATGTAGGTACCTTTTGTATTAGGTTATTGTCCAACTTTAGGTATTCGCTTCAATAATTTATCGATTGCGTTAATTACGAATCGCATTTAATTTAGTTGATCGCAGCTACGCATACGATGACATTTGAAAGTGTGCTGGCAAGACCAGAAGTAAACTTGAAAACACTTTTAAAACTTGCATTTCGACCAAATTTATTGTGTGATCAGTGTCATTTATATTTAGAAGTATTCAAAATACGTTTAGGCTAAGATTTTTGCATGATGTTTGTTCAAACGAAGATTTTAAATTAAGGAGGACGTTTATAACAGTATTAAAGTCACATTTGGTTTGATCTAGAGCAGTGTAACGAGCGTTTTTATTTTGTTCACGTTTCGGCGTAATTTGTAACTATTTTCCCTCGTATGTGATGCACATTTTGGACTGACGTGGGAAAATTTATGGAAGATTTTTACCCTCAATTAACTTTCTTTTTCAATTGTGAATAACAATGCTTTTAAGCTAGTTATTTCATGCTTCATTGCATTGTCATGCTATATCGCGTGTAATGGATTTTAAACCACCTTAAAATCAATTTAGAACAATAGAATTATGTAATTGTGTATAATGTCACATATGTGATTTTATAAATTTTCTGATTTTTAGGTAAAAGTGTACACTTCAAAGTGGGATGTATACTGTCCAGATTTTCTAGTTACTAAAGCTGTCAACTCCAAACTTGATGAAAGTTTGTTACACTTCAGTGCGTCATTGTGACGTGATTATAAGTTGTTTTTAAAGCAAAATGTGGAAGTTTTCATATGCACGGTTTTTCAGTTAGTGTTTGCGCTTAGAACAACATCATAAAAAATCCACATTTTCAGCGAATGCTATACAGAATTGTGATGAAGTAGTGCAAAAATAAGCCTGACTGACAAAAGTTGCACTTTCTGCCGGTTATATGTATAGTGTACCAAATCCTGTAGTGATTTTATAATTTTGACTCTTCCATACCCGTGTCAACGAATAATGCAGCTTATTAAATATGTTAAATATAATTTAGCTAGTCTCTGTTGTCGTGTTTGAGCTAACCAACTTCTCGGTTTAATGGTATTAGTTTAAGATGCTCTTTGTTCGCAAACGAGTCAAAGTCATACATCCACTATATTCCTTGTGGCACTATACATGATGTTTCTGCCCATTATTACGGCTCTAGTTCATATAATAGCTGTAATTTGAGAAACAAACATTACTGTCATCGTTACTGTCTTATTTGCGCTAACTAATAATTCACTGTTTACAATTACCCATTTAATAATATTCGATAAAAGCACAGCTGAATTGAAACTTATTTCAGTAAAAATATTAATACATACAATATATATATAGATTGAAAGTATAGAAATTTGATCAATGCGTTGTAATCTGTACTACACAGTGACGGTGAAGTCTCATGAGTTTTCAAAAATACAGTTTAAAAATATGTCAGAATAATTCGCAGTGATAAAAAATTAATCGTATATTATTTTTGTCATTAACAATTTAAAGAATTATTTCAATTCTCTTTGAAGGAATATTCACTACAATTTTTCGAGTTACAATAGTTTAGAATGACGCAAGATCCGTGTGATGTCATAGTGAAAATCAACCAATTTAAGACGTAATTCGTATAAATATAAATGCTGCATTGTGTGTATCACGTGGATGTTAACCTGAAAACTGTTTTTTTTTCTGTTCTATCAAAATATATAACAAGAAGTGATTATGAATGGGAAACACCTCGTTGGTCATAATTTTACAATTCGAGTCGAGAAATCCTCGTCAACCACACCAGTAAACGTCTATCACAAAAGCGAGACATTTTTTAATTGAATTTTACAATTACAATTTTATAATTCAATAAAATTACTTTTTATCCTATATTGCTGAATTATATTCTGTTCACACATCCCGAATTTGTCGGATGTTGTTGTGACGTCACACATAGATCTTATGTTATTTTAAGGTGTGCTAACTTGAAATCTATTTACTATTTCTATTCAGTTTGCAATTTTAAATAATTTTATTTTAATTAATTCTCGGTAGGATGTACTTTTTTAATTTTTTCAATTGAGATTGTGTATTTATGTAAGATGTGATGCCAGTTTTCAAGAGAGGCTTCTAAACTATTGATGCAACAGAGTCAGATATAAGTAAATAAGAAAGTAAAACAAGATATTTATATTATTTTAAGGTTTCAATAATATTGAAAAACTAAAAATCGTTACATTTCACGTTTACTTCTGGTTTTCGTGCGCGGTGTGAAGCTCGAGCTGCCGTGTAAATGCACTAATCGATATTTGATTCGGACGCCATTGTCGAGATTACTCGTAACAAGGATGATAAGTTAAAAGCAACTTTGATATTAATGGAGATAAAGCTAAAATACAATGCACAGAAAATATGAGTCTGGAAACCGTCATCTTATTACTGCTTTATTTGTTGTTACTAACAATGTGCTGTTTACGCAATTCGCTAGAGTGAGATTTACTCAGAAATATAATGTGACTTGCCACTTTCCTTTCCTAAACCGGTAAAGGATAACCTAATACAAAAGACGGTGGGCTAATTTGATAGTTGATGTCAAAGTCATTGTTGACAATGAGTCACTCTTATTTTTACAACATACCTGGCCATCGAGGACAACCGAAGTGATCATTAATTGTCTTACTGGCTTATTTTGTTTAGTAACACGCTAGTTAATGATAAATTGTAGGTATTTGTATAGAAATGTTGGTAGTAATGGCTGTTTAAATGTTTGTGTAGTGGCGATGTGGAGTTGGATCAGCCAGGCTTGTCAAATACAGATTCCGGTAGTTCATCCAATTCTAGCATATCGTACAAGTAAGTAGACGGAAAGAAAAATTGCTTTTCGCTGATCCTGACGTGTGTTTGTGTGTGTACATGAACATTTAATGAATCGAAACGTGAATAGCTGATGCGTGCGCGTATCAGAAGTATATTGAATGAATGCGTACGCTTTTATTTATTTACGAGTATACTCGTTTTAATTACATATCTAATAACTGTCACGCGAACAGCAGCAACACTCTTCAACGGATTATTATAATTAGACTAATAACAAAGACCAATATGTTCGTAGGACATTGCAACAATATGGATTTATTTCAACCACATAATTAATGCAAGTGAATTTTGATTACTACTACACTCGTGCTGCGTCGATTACTAAGCAAAAACATTGCGTAGCCAAATTATACTCACTAGTCTGTAAATCTGCTACATATTTTCAATTTCTAACATCTTCGTAAATATATAAATAAAGTTTTCAAAGAAAAAATTAAAAATTTATTTTTTTTAATGGTAAAGATCTTTCACTTGCACTATTTGAGTACTTAACCTCGACCTGCCTTCAATTTTTATGCGGTGAATATAAACCCACACGTTTTCTTTACCATAAATTAAGGTTATTGCTTATGATTCATACGTAATATCTTTGAACTGTGACGTTTGTTGACCATTCGCATTAACTAGTGTCCAGGGACTTCCGTGGTGGTTTTGCTGTATACAGAATCAGCTCGTTTTGATGAAACGAATCGAAAATATATATTTCCATCATTTTTTAACACCACATTCGATTTAGTCAATGCAAAAGAGGGAGAATTAGCAGGAGAAAACTCTATAGGAAATTGGTCATATAAAGTCTGTGGTTATTTTTAGTTAAGTTACTGAGTTATTTAAATACGTGCTCTATTTTGTGTTCATTGTTTTGTTGGATCTAGAAGTTAACAAGACGTATATGAAAATATCACGTCATGTTGAAATAGCAATATGCAGTGTTTTCATTAGATCGGTCGGTACAACTATGTACTATCTTTTGGATGACAATTTTTTCAAAAAGAGCTCATTTACTATAAACCGTTTTTCCACAAAATTTGTATATAAGGTCGTTTTTCTTTTAGTGCCTAATGAACCAGTTTTAGGAAAAGAACAAAATTATAGAAAAAATTATTTAAACACTTGACATGATCAAATTTTTCGTTTCACTTTTAAAAGATTATGGCATGCAGACTTTTCAATAACAATATTTGGAAAATTCTGCAAGTCTTAGAAGCGTGGATTCGATCTACATAATTTTTACATACAGTTCACTGGTGGTCTAAATGTTTAAATAATAGTACATTTCTTTATCATCTGTTGTACTAAAAAATATCGAGGTTATCAAAAAAATATTGATAACAGCATTTCATTTTGGTGGGTTTTTTAACACTTCAAAACTTGTTAAGCAATCGGAAATCGCGGCCTTATTTTTTTTTTTTCTGAGTAAAAGGAACAACTCGTACGAGAATTTGGTTTTATGGTAATATTATTAAGGGTCACGGTTATAAATTTTTCATTGAATTTAGTTTATCATGTGACCACAGATTCTTTTCATTCTAAGTAGATTTGTAATTTTGAATTCATTGTTTACGCAGATCGAAATATTTCAGACAAAATCTCTTTTTCACAGGCGCCACATACACGGCTTTAAAAATGTTAGATTATGTTATTATGGTTAGTTTGTGAGTTATTGTTTATAATAGTGTTCATCAGTGTGGGGGACACGTGTATTAATAACACAAAACAAAAAAGCTTTGTGAGACTACTACTTGCTGAGAACTAGTTCCTGCAAAAAAACTGTACTAAATATACTTGGGAGGTCATACTTTGATTATAAGAGAGTGTTGTAGCTGTCGGAACGTTTTACGAACTTCAAATAACACGTTATTTTTCCTTCTTAGTGGCCGGCTGTCGGAGAGCCCAAGTAACAGTGTGGATGTCGTCACCACTGATGGGGGTGGAGGCGACAGAAAGCACAGTTCTGACTGGGAAAGTGATTCAGAAATGGAGCCATCGAATTGGCAGAAACTCTTCCCTGAAGAAGAATTACGTAACTTACAGCCTCACGAAAAGAAAAGGCAAGACGTAATTAACGGTAAGAACTCGGTGTTTTTTCTAGTCGTGACGTAATGTTTGTGAATTTAGAATTGTTCCACACGGAGAATTCACACGTGCGGAATCTCAGAGTGTTATGTGACATTTTTTACAAGACACTAAAAGAAAGTGCGCTTTTGAAATCCGAAGAAATAGCTTTAATTTTTCCCAACATCAAAGAGATGCTAAACGTTCATATGCAATTTAACAAAGACATGAAGAAAAGGCGGCGTGAAGATCCTTTGGTGACCAATCTCGGTGACATGGTAGTGAATATGTTTGGTGGCGTGACGGGCGAGAGTCTTCAGAAAGCCGCTGCCACATTTTGCGAACGCCAACAGTTAGCGCTCGAATTTATTAAAGAAAAACGTAAAAGAGATGCCAAATTTGAAGCCTTACTAGTGGAATGTGAGAAAAAACGGCAGTGTAGGCGGTTACCTTTGCAAGGAATAATTCCAACAGAAATGCAGCGTCTGTCTAAATATCCGTTGTTGTTAGAGCGACTTATTAGTAGCATAGAAGGTGACACCCCGCATGCGCAAGAAGAGTTGGCGAAGTTAAAACGTGCACACAATCTTTCCAAAGAAATTTTAAATTATGTCAACGAAGCGGCAAAGGTGGCTTTCAATAAAGCACGCCTGGAAGATATACAGCGGCATTTAGATACAACGAATTTTGAGCGATCGGACCATCCGATCACTCAGGAATTCAGAGTGAGTAACGTTGCTTAGTAAACTGTTTGAAGTTACAGTTGTACGTTTATTTTTCAGACTTTGGATCTTACGAGGTACAAATTAATCAGGGAAGGTAATATGCAGTTACGACGGGGAAATAAGGCAATAGTGCCTGTTCACGTGCTACTGCTTGAAGAAGCCGTTGTTATTCTACACAAGGAAGGCGATAGGTTCCTGTTAAAGTTCTTCCAGTCGGGTTCTTCTGCCCAGCCACAACCTCTTTCGCCAATTATTAAGATGTCTACGTTATTAGTTAGAAATAATGCAGCCTGTGAGTATTCGCGTTACAACTTTTTTAATTTACTGTTTTTTATGGTTTTTCTTTTCAGGTAAAAAAGCTCTCTTCCTAGTCAACACTTCCACAAACGGCACTCAAATGTATGATCTGTTGGCAGATGACGACATCAATAGAGATGCGTAAGTTATTTGTTTTATTTGTTTTTCTGTAGTCCCTAGCTCCGCTAAAGCTATTTTTGAAATTATAGCGTTAAATAATGGATAAATATTAATTAAATTAGACGCATTTTGTATCTTCTTTTCCAAAATAACGATATTATCTAAATTATATGTAGCAGTGAGGAATAAAAAGGTTTATCAAAAACAAATATTTTTACAATGAAATACCAAATCATATCTTTTAACTAATCTCAAATTAGTGCACTATAGGAACATCGTTGCCACACAATCTAGTAATTACTAGGTGCGCGCGCAGCTATCAGAGTGAAACGATAAAAATTAACAAATTTCTGACATGCGTTTAAAAAAAGAGAGATTCTGCGGGTATTATCACTGGGTTTTTTTTGCATGCATTAATTGTGTATTTTGACTTAAAAGTCAAATTCACGGTAGAAGATAAGAGAGATGTAGTCACATAATACGATATCCTTGTAACAGATTTTGCAACCCTGACACCTTTAGTATTATATCCTTTTCTCCCACAGTATAAAGTACATTCGTATGACGTATTTTTTATTTTTTTGTTGCATGACAAAGAATGCGTGCCTTCTCATATAAGCAGAACTATTTTCCACGCGCTTTCAAGTTGACACCGTTATACGATCCTTCGTTCCATCGTTGTGAAAGTTCTCCAAGTTCAAAATGTATTGATTGAACATTGATTTTGGTCGCGTATTATCCTTCAGTATGGGCGTTGGGACTTGACGTGATGACAACAGCGTTTAATATAAATAAGGGACTGGAACCGAGAGAAGTATTATTTAAAGGTGGTTATTTTTATTAAAAGTCGATTATTATTTACGAAATTACGTAAATAATAGCTACTGAACAATTAATTTAATTTTTTCGATATGGGCATCACCGAATGTTATACGATGTTAAATATTAAAAAAAAAAGAAAGGAAGAACTGTTCACTGTGAGGTAAGAAAGGTAATAAATCGCTATCAAAAATGCGAAATAATGACGAACTATTCAGGTATTTATATGCTGTCAATACAGATTATTTCCTCGTATGTTTGAAACACATTTCCCAAGTATTTTTGTTTCTTATTGATATTAAGTATGGCTACTGTGCACAATAAATTTACATTTAACATGTAGTTTAGTTTAAATAACTTCAACCAAGAACGACTATCAATCAATATCTATATCTTTTATTTAAAATCATCTACAAAATCGTAAACATAAGTTGTATTTATTAAAAGCATATTTTAAACTCGTTTTTGATTTTGGGCTAAAAATAGAAATAAGTAATTACATCGGTGGTCCACTAATTACTAAAATTTCTGTTTTTTCACATAACCAGCATATTTTTAAAGAGTATTGTAAGAGTGAGTGTCTACTTCCTACAATTGTTTGGAAAATAATAGTAAATTTAGAGGTACCCAAAAATTGCTATATGACTAATTCATTGTTGTTTCTTGAGCAAGTGCATAAGTGCAAAAAGAACACTTTGCTCTTTTCCAACTGTCTTTTTTTCTGACGAAAAACAGAATTCTCTAGTTCCTTTGTTTATAATATAGGATTTAAAGAATGCTGAAAAAAAACAACTAAATTATTGATACATTTTTCCCCAAGTGTCACTTTGAAGGTGAGACACAGCAACTACAACTTGTCTCTATCGTACCACGTAGTAGATGGGCTAAAGTGGTCACAATTTCGTAGGTTACTTTACACAACCGTAATTAAAACAACGTCTTGTCTATGAAGAAAATCCGTTTTATACATTGTGCAAATAAATAATCCTGTACGTTATAAAAACAGTGTCAATGTTGTATATAAAAATGTTATTTTCAAACATATATCTCTCGTTTGTTAATTAATTCAATTTAAAATTAACTCAAGATTTCATTTTTATAAGAATTGGGAAAGTAGTGTTGCACATTTGGTTTGTACATATTTGCATTGACGTTGTTTTACAACAGGCCAAGTTTAATTAATTTATATTACATATTTAATGTCTTTTAAAAAGCCTGGAGGGAAACTGCTAAAAGAATACTAAAAATGCAAAAATATACACATTTTTTTAATTTAATACACACAGATACAAAACTATAAACTTCATTAATGAAGACACTTGTTAGCAATTTTCCGCATCCGGTAATTGCATGTGCACTTTCAGGTTCTCTTCAAACGTTTTATTACCTATTAGTAAAAACCAAAAATAAATTGATCGTAATGTTTACTCGAATTTTAAATCATGACTTATTTTAATGTAAACCTCATCAGCGCTTCATTTAACATTTCAAACGCTTAATGTTGTTTTTTAATAATTTTCTCTGTTGCCTGAAGTAAATGTTATGATATGATGACAGATTGTAAACAGGTTCTCCTTTTGCATCGAGAAGTTAAAAAACATTCATTACACATATCTCTCAACTTCACAGCCAAATGATACGCCGCCTAGTTAACCACTTTGTTACTTTATCTCTTTGCCTTTCAATGCGAGCAACTACCAGAACAAGATTCACGTCGTGACGTTGCGCAGCCGATAATAGTTTTTCCGTAAAATCCGCGTTGTATTTGTTTTTAAAATAAAGTCAGTATTTTAACGAAAGTTTATCACTTTTTCCCTGCTTGTTCTTGCGGGGTGTTGTATTTTTAGCGAACGGTGCGTGTTTTATCCTGGACCGTTTAAATATTTACTTATGTAAGTACGGAAAAGTGTGCACTGGGCAGTGTAACATGTGGCCGCCGCCACTACCGATGGTGCCGGTTCGGCGGCAGTCCCTCACATCAGAAGACGAGTCCGCCGCCTCACAGTCTGAGCGTAGAAGCAGCTTAAATCTTAGTCCTTCCGGCGAAAAGCGACGCGGCAGCCTTATAGCCAGGTATGCGTCCATCCCGATCGATTCGCGAAGAACATGCTGTATCGTCGATTTATTTTGATCAGTTCAGGTATTGGCTAAAATATGCAAATAACTGAGTGCTGACAGCCAATGACCAGAGTTTGTACAAACCTACACGTGTTTCACGTATATTATAATAAACTTTGGCTATTTTAGCGCAGGTATGTTTCTAATTGTGATTACGTATTTGATTTCGAAGAATTAGCTTAAGCGGAGTTATGATTCACTCGCTGTCGGGGTTCTTAATTCGTTATTCAACGCGTCAATTAATCGCATGTTCCTGTTTTCTAGGTGGTTTAAGCACTTCTCGGACGCCGCGGATGCGCACAACAGGAGAGAAGGAAAGACGAAAAGGCCGGAACCACAGCCTGATTCGGACGAATCGGAAGCCGTACAGGAAATACCTAGTACGCGAGATGTGGCGGAAAGGGCAGAGGCTGTCGGTGGAACAGATCATCAGCCTGAAGATGAGGAGGAAGATGAACCGGTGTTTAGTGATGCTCAGGAGGAAGGATCTGCTGAATCGAAGGAAGCTGCGAGTTCTTCAGGTTAGTATCGTAGGTTGCACAACACAGCACGCCTGTATATTCATAGTTCTGTAAAAATTAGTAGATTATAAAAGGGTACAACGTTGTTACAGATTAAGTAGATTAAATAGTAGGCTTCAAACAAAAAATAAAAGCTCTCGATATCTAGACTGTAAAGCAAGACCCATAGTTGTAAATAACTGGAGCTACAGTGAATTGAAATGGTTGCACAAAAGGGCTTATTTATTGTTCGCCAGGTTTGAATGGTACCATTATAATATAATACAGCTTTTGCCTTGCCACACTTCTAGTTCACGAGAGCCGGAGGTGTGTTTCGTAGAAACAGTGAAATTTTGCAAAAAATATTTTTACTAAAATTATTGATGAGCCCATAATCTATCGAATAAATTCAACAAAATGTACAAGATTGCAGAATGACATGATAAAACACTCGAAACAGGTTATTGATTTTTTAAATTGTGAAATAATTTTTTTGTTGCCGTTGCCAAAGTTACGACAAAAAGTGGGGTTGTTATTTAAAAATACATTGATGACGTCAACTTTGCTATTCACCGAGCGAAAATTACGAAGTAAACTATGGATCATAAATACACCAACAATTTGTTAGTTAAATTCGGCCATAAAATTAAAAGATTTCCATTTTTATGTCTTATAAATTGGTATGCAATTTTGCTTTTCTTTCAAACACACTTAATTTACACGTTAATTAACCTTGTCATTAAATTCCAATTTTATGTCATTTATTGTTTAGTTTATTAATGAGGTTTGTGTTAGGTTAGTGGTTTCTGACTCACTATATACAAATTTTTAAATTGCGGTAATTCAGTAACAAATGCCTCTTATTAATAAATAAAAAATACTAACAAAACTAACCAGTGACATTTTTTTAAGTTTAAAAAAGTAAAAAAATATGGAAAAAAAAAACCGTTAAATTGTTGGCAGAGCACATAAATTTAGTTTCTTTTTAAAAATACAGGTTTCTAATTTAACTTGTCGGTCGCCATTTATAATACAAAATAAATTTCACTATTACAACAGTCGATACCTACTTTAAAGAAGTAAATGACTTAAGTAAAATACGAATCTTTCAGTGTGATCAGATGACGTCTTACGCATTTTTTAAATGTTATTGTAGATTTTTGTTATTTACAGTATTTACCTAGTAATGTTTTTACACATTTTTTTTTTTTTGTACGTAAAAGACAAAGGTATGAAATAAGCAACAAAGTTTTATTTTACAAAAATACGTCAAACAATTGTTGCTGACTGATATTAATTCATCAAAAGCTCAGAAGTGATTTTGTTTATCAACATGAGCATCAGAAAAGATAATCGATTATGTAATGTAGTTCATTTTCATTAAGAGAGATTCTAATTGGGATTTTTTTTTAATGTTTGATTCATGTTGGCAAAATTTTGTAAAATACCCAATGGAAGCACAGTTTTCATGAATGATACAGGGTTATCGAAATTGATTGAGATAATTGGTACTCCTTGTTTTTGCCGTCAAGTTTCTCAACCTCACGACAGATTTATGTAAGGTTATGTCGAAATCGATCTTTTCATGACTAAGATGGCGTCGATTCAATGGTAACAATTAAGCAAAAAAATTGTAATATTTACAGGTGCTTTTTTATATTAATTAATTTTAATTACAGGTATATTTTTGTTATTTTTTTTAATAATTTATTGATTGTTACATTTTTCAAAGTATATTTATGTTAAAAATTAACTATGACCACCAATTTTAAGTGCAATGACTGCAGTCTTAAGATTATTGTCAACTAAACTACAAAACCCATCTATCTAGACAGTACCAAATTAATAAAATATTTAAAAAATTAATGAAAACTAAAATTGATAATTAAAAAGCTACTAGAGTATCTGGCACAATAAAAATTGATTTTCTTACATTTTAAATTTGTTGCCACGAAATTCATTAATCGAATGTGGTGCTTGATTTGCAAGATTCATGTTACCAGCTTAAATTTGAGTGCCAACAAATATAACAATTTTTTGTTCACTTGATTGGTACCAGTGAAGTGTGTTATAGATCTATTAATTAATCCAGGGGGCGACAAGACAACTCTTACAACAATTTATAGTTACGCTTAAATTTAGGAAAATGTTCGTCTCTACGAATAAGAGCATATTAAGAAATGTGGAAAAGTGACAAATCTAAAGTCGAAACTTCAGATCTTCCGACTAATTTTTTTTTGTCAAACAAAAGACTTAAAAAAAGACGCCATTGCATTTTGAAATTTGAAATCTAAAAACTTCAAATTTAGTAGCTAATATTTTTTCGTCAACGTAATAAACCAAATTATTCTAGTTCAGGTTTAACAATTGTCGCAATCAATTTTGATGACCTGTATTAAAATTTTTTTAGGTAATTTTTTACGACTGGCCCAACTGTAGTACCATGTAATCGAAAATAAAACGAATTAGATTAGGCTGTGAGACCAACTCTGTATAGGTGTGTGGCACAACTTAAACGAGTCTATCAGTTGTCATCTATTAATGTCAAAAATTAATTACATGCAGTGGAATTGAATAAATACATTGACCGGCAAAAAAAACCGGCCACACTGAAAAATTTCGTAAAACCACCAAGTACGATATTTTCTAAAAAAAAAAAAAGGAGGCTGTTGTTGTAAACAGTGTTTTTCAAATTGTTGCTCTGTTTCTATTATTTTGTTAAATTAAATTTAATTCTGCGTTTATTTGTCTTCTTTTCTTTAATAAAATATTGATCACTAGTTAAATTAATAATTTTTAAAGTTTGGTTTTGCGGTGGCCGGTTTTTTCGCCGGTCAGTGTATTTTCTAAAAAAAATTTTTTTTTTTTTTCGAGAAATTGAAGACAATGTCCACATACAGCAATAAAAAGTGATTAAAGATGACGTTGACATTGATTTACGTCAAATTAAAAGCAGCGGTACTCCCAAAACCTGACAGGCAATTTAAATATTATTAATAAAAATTATTAGCAATAATAATTCTACTTCATTTTATTTTTTATGGCACGGTATACAGTTTCTGTAAAAAAAGATGAAAAATAAACATATAAATTGAAAAGTAACGATTTTATGCATTTATATTTAGATAGAACCGTATTTTTTCTTAGTTAATTACGCTTGAAGTATTCCGGTTTTTACAAGATAAAAAAAGCTACAAGGATAAAGTTGCATTGATTTGACAGCTAAGCCTGGGGTGTTGACTACAGAAAACAGGGAGAGAGATGAAGACAGTAATATAAAGAAAGTAGTATGTAGAATTTTCCCTATTTTTTAATAATAGCTCATCTGGTACCTAAAAAAATACCTTATAGATTTATTAAGTATATATTTAAAAACTAGATTATAAAATGTTTGCATTCAGCGATATTTTTATGATACACTGCGTTGGGTTTTAAACTTTCATTAATTTTTTGGTAACTCTGCACGGCAGTAAACGCGCACATTGAGTTATCTTGGTGTGATAGCATATAAAAACCATTTTGATTCAACAGCTCATTACATGAAGTAAACTAATTCACCTGTTTCATTTATTATCGCCAGAGCTGTAATTATCGCTGCTGAAATGCGAAATCAAATTTTATTGCGATGATGTAAAATGGTTAAAATATCTGAAGTATGTTTGGCCTTAAATAAAGTATTGACGTTTAGTATTCATAAAATGAAATAGCATAGCAGTACTTACCGATGCTTGATTTAAACAAGTTCAAATTTGACGGTAATGGTTTTAGAGGGTGGCGGTGTTCACACGAAAGTAACAGCGGATGAGTGGCCTCTCATCCAGCCTTCACAGGTCCACGTAGAAGTACCACCAGTGCACACTGCAGAATCAAGGTTAACTCCACTAGGTATGCTTTTTGGGTATTCACAGTTTACTTAGCGCTTTATTTACCTATTTATATTAAACTCTGCATGAATTAATAGTAAATAGTTGCTTTTAAATGCACACTGGCAACTAGTGAAGATGTGTGACCTTAGATTTATGCGATGACTAATTATTATTTTATTTAGAACAAATTCGTCGGAAAGATGAAGAAGTGCGACGAGCACTGGAAGACAAAGAGGGCCTGGTTGCCGACTTTTTAAGTATTCCTAGAGAGCACTTCCATCTTATTGCTGATATGGCCAGTGATATGCAGGAAACGAAGCCTTCCAAAGATTTAGCGGAACGTGTGTTAGCTGCTGTTTACCAAGGTAAGTATTTTGGCGTGTTTTCTTTGGATAGACGGCCAGACTCTTTAATTAAATTTATTTGGACTAATTTAATTAAACACGCGGAAATTTTTTTTCTCGCTTAAGTCAAGTGATTATTTAATCACTTGATAACCTCTATAGCCCATAAAAAAAAACTATAAACTTTGATGGTGTTTTTTTTTTCGAATAAGGAATTTGAAATTTACAACTAATTGATGAGTAATGAATTGTTTTTTGATATAGTGAATAATTTACACAAAGCTGATGTGAATTTATGTTAGGATTATCTTTATTTAGTACCGTTATTTTAGGGACTAAATTAGTGATATTAGTGAGAAAAGCCAACTCGGAATGATTTTTTTTTATCGCAACTATCTAATACTCAACTCAAACTAAGCTACTATTAGTTCAATAAATTAATAATTCAATCACTTCTTCTTCAGATGGTAGTTCAAAAGTAACACAATAGAATTCCAGAAACAATTCTATAATATTTCTACTAATTTCAAAATTATTGTTAAAATCCAAATAATTCCGACGAATTTAATAAAAAGTCAAACTTTGATTTTACGCTATGAACAGCTCGGACTGGCTCACCACCTTTAATATTGCATACAATATAATTTCCAATTCCATTTTAAAATAACATAATTGCAGTGGACCAGCTGCACCTTGCCGTCAATGAAGCTTTAAATGTGACGGAGGCAACAGCTATATCAGCTACAGGAGGCAAACACCTCGCTTGCCAAAGCCAGGAAGTAGTGCCAAACGTATTACCGCCTTCCATTCCCGCCAGTCGTGTTAGAGACGTTGCCAATACACTAAGTACTCAACTGACTACCCTTCTTGTAAGTAGTAAATTTAACTTAAGTCGGTAGTGTATACTAAGTATTTTTTTACATCAGAGTGACGTAAAACAAGCACAAGAAGAACACGATAGGCTAAGAAAAGAATTGTTCCGTATGAGGGAACGGCTTCACGAACAGCAGATGCTTCATGGGCCTAACGAAGACAACGTATCTCATTCGCCTATTTTAGAAACACAATCAGACTTGGACAGTATTAAGGTAAGGAACTGATCTGTTATATCGAAGAATAGCGACCCATGCATCGGGAACGTTTCAGGAAAGTCCAGCAGAGCCAGAGAGCTAACGTGATATCAGAACACCCATTGTAGGGCCTTGAATATCAGTAAACCAGACAATTTGTATAAAGAAAAAATTATATTTGTTATATGCTAATTTTATTATTATTATCTTATAGGTAATCTTGTGAAAGAGCCTAGGTATATTTCTTATTCATGTTATTTTTTTATAAAAAACTGAAGGGCACGGGTTTCTTACGAACCGTTTCCTTCTGAGTTAATGGTCAACATGATATACGTTTTTCTCTCCCTTCATTTTAATGGGTGCAATAATGCTTTTACTGTTATTCATTATTATAAGTCGCTAGTACTCAAGTTTGACAAGGCCTAGGACGGTCTAAAGTTTATTTAAATGATGTATATTAGCATTATTAAGTATTACGCTGTTCCACGAGATCAATTTGTTTGTAGCTATTATGAGCTCTTTTTAATTAATTGCATGTAATTTTAGAGTGGGTTCATTGTGAGTTTACATTTGTATGTATTTAGAGAACGCTGGTTAACGTTAATTTATTATAATTTAGTAATTCTGATAGTTATAAACAATTTGATTGTGCAGATCTATAGATTTTCATGTAAGAGTTTATGATGTATGATGTTTTGTTTTATATATATGTTGTCTACTTTGTTACCTCATTTTACAATGTTATCTAATGAGATAATCACAACTTGTTAAATGTTGTCTAGCTTTTGTATAACCGCTTCTTTAAAATGCATTTTTGTTATAAGATCGCATTTATAGATGTAAAGTGTATCATTTTTTACTTTATTGTATTTACTACCTACATATTTATAGCGAATTATATAATAATGAATGACATCGCAGTTAATAAACAACTTGTTAAGTACACATATTTATATAAAAAATAATAATGCTACATAATAAACTATTTAAAGTAATCTATTTTGTTTTATTATTGTACACATGAGTTTGGATATATAAAGAAAAACAATTATTTTGTCATCTAAATCTGGCAAAAAGTCCTAGATTTAAGATGCCTCATGGAGCTTTGTGGGGCTGATTTGGTAAAAATTTTCCAGGAACAGGAATTTTTAATTCGTCGTTATTTTATTGTCATGCATTAATTTGAGTATTCTACATTGAATGATACGGTAAAACCGTCTGAAATTTCAATATTACGAAGAATGTCAAAAGTCAAAACTAACTAGCCAGACCTATACAAAACTGTTCAAACAGTAGTGAAGCAAAAAACCGAAAGTTGCTAAGGTAAAATTCCATATTACGATTATAAATCGAGACTCCAAGCAGAACAAGTACAACGCAAAATGTTGTTTCAAGAAGTTTTGTTGCCGTTAACATTTTCCTGATACAAATTAGCTTGACTGTATAGAAATAAGCGTGCGTCTAGGAACTGCACGACAGTATAGCAATAAAACTATTACAAAATTATTGGGCCACGTATTGATTCAGGTATTTTCTATGCAAATATATAATTGCAAACAAAAAATGGAAAATAAGAGCACCAGATTTAACGTCAGTGTTTCTATCTATTTAACAATTACATTGAATTACAAAAAAATATATGCCTTGTTTTTGTAAACCATTTTTCGGTTGACGTAAAATAGCGTGACTGTGATAATTAAGCCGAGATAGGCTGTGTAACTCTCAAGACGACAGCGGTTGAACTGCCCAAATATATGATTTTTATCATGATCTTCTTTGAGGCCAGTGTTAAATGTTCACATGATATTTACAACAAACATGAAGACGACGAAAAGTTCTACTGAAATTCAGTTTGTAGGAACTACATTGTATCAAAGTTAAACATGCAATTAAGAAAACAATTGAGACATTATGGTCTACTTGTCATGGATTAGCTGATGAATTTATTTTCTTTAAACCCAAGCAAAAATACTTTGGAACGTATTTGTAATTTCGTTAATATTAAAGTATAACAAATCAATATTTACCTGTTTTAATAAATCAGAATATGATAAACTCTGGAGGTAACTGCAAACTACAAGGCAGGAATTGTTGAACCAAATGTGATTTGACTTTTCAACCATTTCAATACCTCTTTTATTCATTGTAATACGTTCTTTGCCAATGCCAACTATTGTAAATTTGTATTATCGAAAATTACAAATAGGTAGTTATGCATTTATGGTTATTTACATCTGGTGAGAGAATAATCGACAATTAGGTAGGTAGCGTAGACATTTTTTTCTTTTTCGAAGTTTATTGAAAAGTAGATATATAATTCATATCTACGTATTATGTACACTCAAGACAACATTTGTCCCAAAATATTTCACCTGTAGAATTTTGTATGTATTCTATTATAATAGTCTTCTAAGCAGTGTTGCCGGAGTTAAATGGTAAAATTCCGCTACAGGCTGCGTTTAGAGCTGAAAATTGTCATTTTATAAACTCCGTTGCCAAGTTGCCGTCGATAGTAACTTTGATGTTCAACTTCTCCCGTATTTAAAGGTGTTGTACGAGTAGAAGAAAAGTGGCGGATTTAATTTGATTACTACAAAAATTTACCATTTTAGACTTGTTGTCGAAATAGGTGTACATATATTAAGAAAAAAAGGCAAAATGTAGCCCCGCCCACCCACCCTATCTTAATTGTGATGATTTTTTTTATTCTTCGTGAGCCAAGAAGAAATTAAAAGCCCACCCATACCTGCCCTGATCTAAATATGTAGTGATGAAATTTTCATTGGTTGCCAGACCTAGGGGCGGAGCCTAATTGAAAAATCCATATTTCCCTACAAAAATTTACCATTTTAAACGTGTTTTAAGTAGAAACTTAAGATGGTAAGAATAAAAAAAATCATCACAATTGAGATGGAGTGGGTGCCTTTTTTTCTTAATATACATAGTATATTTTGAACAACACGATACTCAAAAACATGTTTTTAGTTTCTTGTAAATAAATAAGAATTTTGCAGTTAAGCTCCGCCCCCTTGGTTCACGGCGAATAAAAAAAATTATCACAGTTGAGAAAGGGCGGATAGGCGGGCCTGCATTATGCCTTTTTGTTTTAATATGTGTAGATTTCTTTTCACAACATGAAACTTAAAACATTTTTAAAATTGAAAATTTGTATAGGGAAATTTCGATTTTGTATTTTGGCTGCGCCCCATCATTGCAAAATCCATATTTCCTTGCAAAAATATACTATTTTAACCATGTTTTAAGTTACTTATTGTGAAAACATGTATCTTAAGAAGAAACAGGCAAAGTATAAGCCCCGCTCACACACCCTATCTCAATTCTGATGATTTTTTTATTCGTCGTAAGCCGAAGGGTTTCTACGAGAAATTATCATGTGAAATATGTTCTTAAGTAATCGTATTATACAAAGAAAACTAAATGTATTAATTAAAAAAGAAAACCAAAAGATAAGCCCTACCTATCTATCGTCTCGATCTCAATCGTGATGAATTTTTCATTCGTTGTCAGACCGAGAGGCGGAGCGTAATTGCAAAATCGATATTTCCCTATACAAATTTACCATTTTAATCATGTTACATTAAGTTTCTTGTTGTGAAAAGATGACTACACAACGGCTCACTCCATTTTCCCAGAAAAATTTGGGAACACAATACTGCTATTTTTAGCTATTAGGTTATTACACTGCACCAATTCATGTTGATATACGTGTCCTTGCAAAAATATTGATGCCGTCATCACAAAATTGTGTAAAGAAAAAACTTGTTTTTTATTTGTACTTTAGGTGCGAGGGAAGTTCTGTCGAAACAACTTTCGATCAATTTTTTAGTTCTGGAAAACAAAAATTATGAAAAGTGGATCGGCAATAGATGTCCTATTCGATGACCAGCTCGTAACCCAGATTGAATGCCTTTAGATTTATTGTTGTGTCGACACATAAAAGATTTGGTGTATTTACGACACTTCCCTGATTTACTAGAAGACTGGAAAAACCATATTGGGAATGTTTGAGTTTTTTTAACGCGTGATAATAAATATAAATTTTAATAAACAGCTTTATATCCTTCAGAGATGGCAGTTCGAACTTATACTAAAATGATGCAGGGACGGTTGGTGCCAGGCGGCACAAGAGCACGTGCCCCCCAAGATTACAACGTATGCATCTACAAACACATTGGACGTAGCAAATTAGTAATTTTCAATATTTAAAAAATTATCCGGAAGTTTGTGGCATAATTATCAAAACTAATTTTTTAATCGCTCCATTATTTCTATCAAATGTATCGAAACTTACATGTAAAGATACTGTATCGTTGGTAAGGTCTCAATAAAGTTGGACACCTAAGCGTGACTCATTTAGACTTTTTTTACACCGTTGCCACGGAATCCGCGCCTCTAGTCGCCGTATTTGGTTGGAATCGGGTCACATTTGAAACAGTGACTCTAGCAGTAGTTCAACTACGGGAGTTACTTTTCATGCTGCGTGAGTGAAATTGTTTGATTCTAAATAACAATAATGAATTCAGTTGAACATTTAATAAAAAATCGTCCTTTGTCTTACGACGATAAAATTGTAGTGAAAAATTTAGGAAGAGCCACCACCGATTTGCTAATAAAAAAAAGTGTTCATGGAAAAACGAGAGACTTTCATATATATTTTAATAGACAGAACACGTATGATAAATTTTTGTGGATGTGTGGCTTTGAAAAAAATAATTTGTTTTGTTTTCTCTGTCCCCTCAATAATGAGTTAAAACTAAAGGTATGGGTTTACTTTTATTGAATGTATTTTTGTATTTATTTCCGTCACACAATTTCGTCTGGTAATAACAGCCTAGATGTTCATATTTAACTCATCAATCAAATTGTGTCCCCCCAGTTCAAAAGGTTACGGGCCACCACTGAAATGATGGTAGTCTGTTTTTCACGAAACTTCATTTTCGTAAATATTTGTAATTTTTATATGACTGAAAACAAAATAAACATCAAAGTGTGTGTAATTTACTGAGTTAAAATATAAATATGTATGTACGAATTTAAAAAACATGGGTTTGCATCGCGACGTCGACGTTATCACATTTCCCCTTTCTAGCTAAAAGTAATGGTGTTTACAGAATTTCAATTTTTCTATCCGTTCCCAAAACGTCACGGAGTTTTATCTGGGACACTGTATATACTTTAAAGCATATTAAGCCAGGCAAATTGAAACACTCCACAAAATTTTATGCACATTATCAATCGGCAGAATATATGGCGATTTTTGTCGACCCTTGCGTTATGTGGCCGAATATTATTAATATAAGCGGTGTGTAGTTGTTTCCGAATGTCTGTATTACCGAGAAGATTATCCAAGAATATTTATCATACGTGTTCGCGGAGAATGAAAATTAAAACGCGCGATAGTAAGTCAATCCTCCAGAGCACGGTCGCAACGGCCTCACAATCCAGTTGTATCATGCGCATATCAGGCGGCTACGACGTGTAGTTTCCATGGCAACGGTGTAAACAAAACATCTAAATCAGCCATGATTCGGTCCATTCGGTCTCTGTGCCGGGTTTTTATCAGCATTTCATCAGAAATAACATATCATATATCCAAGACACATCTTTAGTGGAAGTAAGTTTTGATACATTTTATACAAGTGTAGCGAGATAAAAAAATTAGTTTTGATAATTATGACACAAATTTCCGGATAAATTTTTAAATATTGAAAATTACTATTTTGCTATGTCCAGTGTGTTTGTAGACGTTTAAATTTTGGGGGGGCACGTGCCCTTGTGCCCCCCGGCATCAGCCGCCCCTGCTATTTTTGACAGTCGATTGGTAAGAAAATCAATATTTTCGTGATCATTTAACACAAAAGGAAGCAAATAGATGGAAATATTTAATTTGGCTAGTTATTATTAACAATGTTCACTGACATTTAGTTTCAACTTTCGACCACGTTTCGACTGCCTGTATTTGCCAACACAATCA